GGGGGATGAAGAGACCGTGCGTAAAGCTATGGAAGCTGTTGCTGCCCAGGGCAAGGCCAAGAAGTGAAGGCAAGCAGGCAAACTACTTTCCCAAGGACACCCTCCCTGCCCATCCCTTCCTCTGCACCTCTCCCCTGCACATGTCACACTGACCACATCTGTAGGCATCTTAAGTTGTAGCTGCAGATGGGGACTGGTGGCTCCCAATTTCATTTAAGCCATTTTGTCTCTTGCATCCACTCCCTTCACACAATCTAATCAGAATGGCACTTCTGGGGCATGGGTCCTCAGTCCAAGCCGAGGGAAGACTTTCAGCCAAGAGAGTTGAGAGGTAGTAACTCCGGGGTTTTTGCTAGTGCTTTAAGGACCCGCTTGCGTAAGGGATAGGGAGGAGCCATGCCAAGGCGGACCAATGAGGAGAAGCAAGAGAGCCTATTTGTGTTCTCAGGAACCAGTCCTGTACTATTCTGTAGTCAGGTGACTACTTGGGGGGCTCTAGCCATTCCAGTGGAAGATGAATGTAACTTGCACGGTGATTAAAACAAACACTTCCTCCCTGACCCCAGAGGAGCTGGCTCCAGAAGATTGGGATCAATCCTCAATGTTTACGTGTTACATTTACTTTTACAAAAAATATATATATATTAAAAAAATACAAAACAAAACCCTTCTGGGGTTTCTAGTTGCGGTTGAAATATTCCCACATGTAGCCATCAGAAAATAAACCATTCCTCATGCTAACGTGGGATAAGCTCTTTGACTTCTAAAGTGTAGGAGTTCATTCTGCTGTGTGTTTTAGAATCCCTCCCCTGCCTTGTTTTATGGCAGTGAAATGCCTCTTGATCGTGTCCAAGTGTGTCTTTCACTGTGTCTGATTTCTGAATCATGTTTCAGTTGCTGGGCCCTGCCACTCATTTTGAGCATAACTGTACTAAATCTTTTTTCCAGATCAGTGAAATAAAGGAGTGATGTGCAATATTTTTTGTGAGATGTGTAATATCTCTTGTCTGAGGAAATCAGCTTGAACATTCCACTTGAAATGTCTCTCATTATCCGAGTCCTTGTATGACAGGTTAAGAGCTTGAGGACAACCAGTCAACTCTACACAGGTCCAAAATTTTCGTCTATCTCACTAGGTATTCCAGTTCAGCTTGGAGAACTGAGGTGGGGGTGGGCAGGTCTTCCTGGTGGAGCTCTCCATTTCTGTTGCCTCTGTGTAGCTCTTGCTCAGTGGTGCTGGTTACTGAAAACCTCTTGAATGGGAAAGTCAAATTCTGAAACTCCATTATGCTGTCTTTAGAGTAAGGTAAAAGCTTTTTATTTTTTTTTGGTGAGGAGATCAGCCCTGTGCTAACATTTGCCAATCCTCCTCTTTTTTTGCTGAGGAAGATGGCCCTGGGCTAACATCCAGGCCCATCTTCCTCCACTTTATATGGGACGCCACCACAGCATGGCTTGCCAAGCAGTGTGTTGGTGCGTGCCCAGGATCTGAACCGGTGAACCCTGGGCTGCCGCAGTGGAGCGCGCGCACTTAACAGCTTGCGCCACCGTGCCGGCCCCTGGCAAAGGCTTGTTTACCAGATTTTTTTTTAAGCCAGTCCTTTGCTATTAGTAACTCGTAAACTTGATTCCCACCTTTCTTTTTGGCCCCTAAAGTTTTAACCCTGTCAGCCAACTAATTAACATCCTCAAAAATTATACATAACCTCATAAAATGACTTGATGCAGGAGAAAAGGAGTATATTTACATTATATACATAATTGGAAATGGGTATGCTCACATTTAGCTTCTCTCTAAGGCTTTTGAAAAGATAACTGGGGCAAGAGATAGCCCCATAATGCATTTCTCTCCTAGTAGGAGCCAAATAACATGCTCCATCTATTAAGCTCTTATGAAGCTCCTCTGTGCCAGCCATTGCGTGAGGCACGTTACATACATAATCTCTGATCTTGACAACCTCTGACAGGGCTGGTATCCCCAGTATAAAGAAGAGGAAATAGGCCAAAAGAGATGTGGAAACTTGTCAGAAGGTATGCTACTAAGTACTGGAACCCAGATGAAGGATGTTAGTTAGGGAAATCAGTGTTTTTATTCTAAGATTTCAATAGTTCTAAGCATCTTGCTTTTCAGGTTTAGTTTTTCATTTGATCTACACAGTAACCCTAGGAAGACCTTTAGTAATTTAAGTCTCCAGTAGCCTGGTGGGATGTTAGTTTACGTAGCCTGTACTGAATCTTAGACCAAAAGATGGTAATTTTGTTTGATCAAGTGCTCTTCAGGCAAATCAGACTGGATCAGCTTGGATTAATGTTACTCAATATCCTGACATCACTTGAGTTTACAGCAGTCTCCATTCCTTGCAACTTAAGAGTTCTGACTAGAACGCCTGCCTTATGGGCAGGAAAATAACAGAAAGCCAGCATCATTTACCATTACCACCAGGAGGTCAACAACTACTATCCCTCCAAGACAGTGCTGCTTAGCCAGGGTAGCTCATGAGAATCACCCACAGAGCTGAAAAATCCTAAGCATCTGCTCTGGGTTCGCCTTATGAGATTTGGGAGCAGAGCTAGGGCACCTGCTTTTTTGTTTTTCTTTAAAGCTTTATAGGCAATTTTGAAGTTCACCTAACCCAGGCTGAGAACCACTATTCCAAGGCACAGAAAAAATATCCTTGTCTCTAGAACCAATTTCAGATTAGCAAATATCACCATCACTAACATCACTGTTGGGGCACAGCTGTTCAGTCAGCCATCTGCAGACTTTAAAAAACTTTTATTGAGGGGCCGGCCCCGTGGCTTAGCGGGTAAGTGCGCGCGCTCTGCTGCTGGCGGCCTGGGGTTCGGATCCCGGGTGCGCACGGACGCACCGCTTCTCCGGCCATGCTGAGGCTGTGTCCCACATACAGAAACTAGAGGGATGTGCAGCTATGACATACAACTATCTACTGGGGCTTTGGGGGGAAAAATAAATAAATAAAATCTTAAAAAAATTTTTTTTATTGAGCATTTGCTATGTATTAGGCACAGTACCAGGTACTGGAGCTTCAAAGATAGATAAGACAGAATCCTGCCCTAAAAGCTCAGGCTCGTAGGGGAGACAGGCACATAACTAACTTACTACAATATTGGATGGTTAAGGGTGAGAAGATCTAACCTGGTCTGTAGCAGATCAGAGGGGTATTAGCTAGTTGTTTCAAATGCTGCTCTTTATGACAACTTTTTTTTAGTACTGTCTGAAATGATAACATTTATTGTTTACTTATCATCTCTCTTCCTCTACTAGCCTGTGAACTCCACAAGGAAAGGATTCTCTCATTTTCACTGCTTTACCCCCTAGCTCCTGGAATAGTGGTGGGCAGAGCAGTTGCTCAATATGTATTTATTGGATGAATGAAGCACTCATAATTAATGAACCAATGTCAATTTGGAGAGCTTCTAATTGTATGACCAAGGTTCCGTTCAATACTTGGACAAGAGAGGCACCATAGTATAGGAGAAAGAACCTGGGCTTTATAGTAAGACAGACCTGGGTTTGAATACTGCTCTGCCACTTGATGTCTGTGTGACTTAGAGCAAGTTAATTTTTCTAAGCCTGAGTTCACTTCTCTGTAAAATGTAGAAAGGACTGCTACTTTCCAGGGTCACTGTGAAGTGCAGAGATAACATAGTAAAATGGCTAACACTGTTGTTGAGAGAATCAGTTGGTGGCGTCTTCCTGCAAGGCAATAAGGGAGAATCTAACCAAAATTCAAAATGTGCATATTCTTTGACCCAGCATTCCCCTTCTAGAAATCTGTTTGGCAAAAGAATCATACGCATGAAAGATTTATGGTATAGAGGTCTTCTCTGCAGCATTGTCTGTAGAAGAAAAATCTGAAGTTTTAAAATAGTTATCAATAGGGGACTGATTAAACAAATTACATCAAAGTGTCTAGCATAAGGCTTGGCATTCAGTAGATATTTGATAGGAGGCAATCAGATATATAATAGTAACAATAATATTGGCATGTACTGAGCACTTTTATGCATTTCTTCCTCACAATAATCCTATGAGGTCATACCAGTCCAGATGAGGAAATAGACTTAAATAAAAATAACTTGCTCAAGTATCAATGTCAACATCCTGATTTTTATCATATACTATAGTTTTGCAAAATATCACCATTGGGGGAAACTGGGCAAAGTGTACAAGGGATCTCTCTGTATCATTTATTAAAACTGCATGTGGACCTACAATTATCTCAATAAAATTTTCAATTGAAAAAATAAACCTAACCTACTCAAGGCTGGCAACTAGAGGATACAAACCCAGGAGGGCTGACTCCAAAGCTCACCCTCAACCACCGTCACTACACAGAGAAGATGTGGGCTCCTTGAATAACATCTCAAGAAGTGACATCTCATAATTCATCTTTCCTTCCATTCCCTTTGCAACCTCCCCATACTTAACCCTCATCCCTTCCTCATCCTCAAACTTATGTGTTCATTCCTGCTTCTGCACTTTGCTCAGGCTTCTGTCTGCCTTGAATATCTTCACTTATTTGAGTTCTTTAATTCCTTTTACCTCATGTCACAAATCCTTCCCTGGCCACCTCACACGATAGTGCTCTGTCCCTCTTTGCAATTCAGATTCAAGAAACATTTCCTGGAGTACCCACTGTATCAGTAATACTATGTTTACCAAATTACTTTCAGAGCAAGCTACCTGAATCACCACCTGTGTCCTATAATTTTCACTAAACCATAATCCCTCTAAATGAGGGAATGTATATAAAGTGCTTGACGCAGTGCCTGGCACATAGTAAGTTACTCAATAAGCAGAAGTACTTAAAACAGAACATGAGAGATACAAAAAAGACTGGAGATTAGGCTTTGTCCAGAGCAAGCAAGCACTTGACACATGTCAGGTAACGGGTGCCACCAGGCAAACCCCTGCTCTAAATGTCATGACACCATTTAGATTCCTTTCCCTACTCAGGACAACAGAAGCCATAAAATCCTTTTAGTAAAAATATTTTGTCAACAGCAAAAATTATGTATTTATAAGACTGTCAGAAGGAATAGGCTATTTCCAACATTATACACTTCGTTAGCTGGTGCCTCCAAAAGAGAAATTTATCGCTCAAGAGAATGAAATCCACTGCAAGGTTCACAAGAAAAATGTTCCCCCTACAGAGTAAGTTTCTGGCAGATTTTTCCAGAGGTGGTTGTTGGTCGACTCCAGGTGTCTGAATAAAGATAATAGCATCTTGACGTTACCTTCATACATATACTCTTGGAAACAGCTTACCCCCCTCCCTGGGGTAAAATGTGGCTTCTTAGGTCTGCAGGAATTCGGGCTGTACTCGGGCCACTTTCCGGAATTCTTTCGTGTGAGTCTTAGGGCACTGCATCTCACACCAGCTGATGGGAACCATCTGGACACCTGAAAGGGAAAAGTTGGTGTTGGAGCTGGGACCCCAAATATTTGCCTAAGACCTTTCTCTTTTCAGCTAGGTATGAACTGAAGTGTCACAAAGCTACCTAGTGAACCTCACCTCATACAGAAAAAACCTTGTTTATTCTACTAACTTATGGAGTGAGTCCCACTTTTCCTTAGATTTATATAAGGAGAATCATTCTAATCTCAGCAGTATCCACATACATATTGTTTCCTAGATAATTAAAAAAACAAGGGAAATGAGGAAAAACAAAGGATTAATCCCAAACCATAGCTCCTAGAGAAAGGTAAGCATGTGGAAGCATGGACCAACTCACCTGATTCACTGTGGGCCACCACCACCCCCAGCTCATTTTCGGCAGTGGTCAGGAGGTAGTTGGACTGTGCGTCACCTAGGGAGATCTAGTCGCATAACATTGGTGAAGGAAAATGAAGGATTCTAAGTCTTCCCCTCCCACAGCCACTTGAGTTGTTTCTATATTTTCATTTATAATTGACAAAAGACCACAAGACTACCGGGAATAAAGGATACCACTTTGGCCAAGACAATGTCACCTGGGCGGAAACTCTTATAAATCTCAACCTGTAAGGAAAGAACAGGAATGTTAAGTGAAAGCTCTCAGTCAGGTCTACATGAAACTATTAACCCCTCTGGTAGAGCCAGTCTACTTTCTAATCCCAGAGGGTAGAAGTCAACATTACTTTAGTCAATCAACAACTTTTATTGTTTCTACAGCATCATCATATAAATGAAAGATTTTGAATTCAGTAACCTGATCAGGAATCTGACTTGGACAAAAGGTACTATAGGTGGCTCTGAAAGGATCTAGAGTGAGTCAGAGGGAACAGCAGTGAACAAATACCTGGCTTCAAGGGCAAGGAGTAGACTAGCCCCCTTCTGGTTAACAGAGTGAAGACAAATTTTATGCAGAAGAAAGGGACAGTGAGGTGAATTCCATACTTTCCAGTAAGGAACACCTTAAACTTCCTTAGACTCCACATTCCCACAGAACTTTGAAATTCATTGGAATAACTTAAAAGGATTGAGATTCCCAAAGCCATGAAGAAAAAAGAACCAACCAACAACCTTGTCTTTTTCAGTAGCTCGGACATCTTCTTTGCTATAAAAAAGAATTAACAGAAAGATTAATCAGCTCTGAGAAAGAACTATCCTGCAGACTCCTAGTAGACAAAAGCTATACGAGTGGAGAGAACAAGTCATAATCAGGACCCAGCTGCTACCCAGAGGAGCAGGGCGGAGAAGCATCTCCAGTCCTCACCCAGAACAGAAAACCACATTTCCTCTTCTTGGATCACACAGAGCAGCAGTATCAAAACCTCTGACCAGAGAAAAGCGATTTGGCAGGAAAGGATAAGGAACTTTGCTGCTTTAGGAAAGCTTGATCAGAAGCACTATAGAACCGCATAGAATCCTGAGGGTGGAAAAGACCTCAGAAGTTAAATTATCTAGCTCACCAGAACTGTTTGTCCCTTCTCAAAGAACCCCCAGGGGAAAAAATCTACCATTTCACCCACTATAATTCTTGGGTTTTACAATCCTTGGGTTTAATATATATTAAATTCAAGAAAGGAAAGTACTTCCTAACATGCCTTCTACTTTGTTTGCTATGAATCATCCCTGCTCTGATAATCTCCAGCTTAGCTCAGTTCTTTTTGTTTTATTTTAAAGCCCTATCTCATTAATATTTTCCTTTTATCCTAACTCATATACTATAACATTTTCTTTGGGTACTACCTGGGGAGAATCAAAGCACAAAGAGAAGAGAAGTAGGCAGAAGTAGGAATTGTAGTTGTTCCTAAAGGTTCCAGTCTCCTGTCCTATCCTAATCTCATTCCAGGTGCTGAGGCAAATATGAAGACAAGAATACTTCTTACCGGATAGTTCCTCGAAAAGAGTTCTTAAGTGGTGTGGACCCCACATATAGGATGTGTACTTTGGCAAAGCGCGAATTGATGCTAGAGACCTGTGGAATAGAGAAAAGATCAGCATTAGAGTATTAGCAGTTGTCAGCTCAAGGAGGCAGCAATAAACTGGGAATTACTAGGATTTTAGTCCAAGCAACCCTGCTAAATATAGAATTTAAGACAAGTTAACTCCTACTTCTCCCTGCATAAGTGATATATGTAAAGTGGAATAAGAGCCACTCTGGCCACCTAAGAGAGTTACTGTGAGAATCAAATGAAAGAATATGGTATAGATTTTGAAAAACACAAAAGTCAAACATAAATAGACATAGGGCATTACAGCAAATCTAGACCTTTATAATAGATCTTACTAAGAGGCCTGTATAGTGGATGGAATTTAAGGCTACATTTCAGCTGCTGCATAATATTTTGATCACTGCCTCTCCAGTTATTTTCAGAATAAGACATAGATTTTCTTTTTTTTTTTAAAGATTTTATTTATTCATTTTTTTCCCCCCAAAGCCCCAGTAGATAGTTGTATGTCATAGGTTCACATCCTTCTAGTTGCTGTACATGGGACTCGGCCTCGCGTTGGACGGAGAAGTGGTGCCTTGGGGCGTGCCCGGGATCCGAACCCGGGCCGCCAGCATCAGAGCGCACACACTTAACCGCTAAGCCACGGAGCCGGCCCCAAGACATAGATTTTCACTGGAACAATTTATACAGAGAAACTAACAGCTACACGTTAATTTAACCTGACAGAGGGTAGGGATGGGCAGGGAGTACTGATGTATTACAGTACTGATTAATTTGTACTTCCCCTGAAATACCCTCCCTAAAAGACTTTAAACAAGAATGCTAGAGTTTAAAGTCTTTTGCTTCTCTGCAGAAAAAGGTCTCACTTTAGATGTTTAAAAATAGGCCTCCTTATCACTCTTTGGTGCCCCTGTTCCCCAGACACAGGTAAAACTATATACTCAGAGAACCAGCTCTGTGAAAGAACTATGCATGCCGGAACTTGCCTGGATTAATCATTATCTAGAAATCTCTAGACCACCACAGCCCAGTAAAACTTTCTGTGATGACAGAAATGTTCTGTGCTGACCAATATGGCAGCCTCTAATCACCTGTGGCTATTGAGCATTTGAAATGTGGCTAGTGAAACTGAGGAAATAAATTCTTAATTTTAATTTATTTAAATTCAAATGGCCATATGTGGCTAGTGGCTACCATATTGGACAGTGCAGTTCTATAATGATCATGATTTCAGCATTGGACGGGTGTCCTAAGCAGGGAGGTTAGGACCAACTTACCTTACAGGTTACAATAGCCCCCACATCGGGCAGTAACTGGGACTCTGTTTCTCTCATCACAGACACGACAGGAAGCTACAGAGAGAACAATAAAACATGAGTATCCTGGCTAAGCCTTGGGTAAAGCTATCTGTGGTTTGAGAGTAACACAGGAATGCCTTGGTTCACAGTTGAGGTCACAAGGGCAGGGGGACTACAGGTGCATTTGTAGCCCAGAACAGAAAGCCTTAGAAATTTAGGAAATAGGAGGGCCAAGGAGCCACAGGAAGAATGCTGCTAGAAGACATAATCTAACCATTTCCAATTAGTTCTAATAAGTATCTTGGTGATTTTCTTAGAATTTCTTGGTATACAACCATAGGGTCTGTAATCATGGATAATTTGACTCTTTCCTCCAAAGTTATACCACTTCTTTCTGCCTTGCATTTTATTGTACAGGCTGGAATTTCCAAATAAATGTTATATAATAGTGTTTATATAATAAACAATAATACTTGTTTATTTCTATTTTAAATTTTTTTTTATTTGTTTATTTATTTTTCCCCCAAAGCCCCAGTAGATAGTTGTAGGTCATAGCTGCACATCCTTCTAGTTGCTGTATGTGGGACGCGGCCTCAGCATGGCTGGAGAAGCAGTGCGTCGGTGCACGCCCAGGATCCGAACCCGGGCCGCCAGTAGTGGAGCGCCCGCACTTAACTACTAAGGCACAGGGGAGGCCCTGTTTACTTCTATTTTAAAGGAATACTTGTGGAGTTTTCTCTTTGAGCATGGTATTGTGTGCTGGTGTAAGACAAGATATTTGGAATCTCCTCTTTTATTAATCTTTCCCTTGTTCACTATGCTTCAGCCCTCCCCGCCTTCTTTCAGTTTCACCAACTCACTAAATTTCTTCCCATCTCAGGATCTCTGTTCAACCTGTTATTTCTGCCAGGACTGAGCTCTCCCCACCCACCCAACTCTTATTTACCTTTTAGATTCAGGTTAAATGTCACTTTCGATGACTAGGTAAGTGTGCCTAGTATATGAGAACATGGTACCCTATAATATTCTTTCAAAGCAGTCATCACATTTGTAACCATACATTCATTTGAGCATTTATTTGTTAACATTTGTGTTTGTGAGCCTTCATAGCAGAGATCATGTGTATTTGGCTCATTACCATATCCCTAGAGGTCAGCACTGTGCTTGGCACATCAACCGATATCTATATCTGTGAAATAAACTCACGATTGTTAAGGACATTCCCAAAATTGACTGAATAAAAAGCCTCTCGTTTTACAGATGAGGAAGAATCTAAAGCCAGAGAGTTTAAGTTTCTTACCTAAAGCAGAATCGAGGTCTAGTTAGCCAGTGGCTAAGCTTCTAATTCTGACTCCTCTTTCTACTATGCTACCTGTCACTTCGAAGACTGCTTATCTGATCATGAGTTAATCCTGGATCAGTCTCTGGAACTAGGGAAGATAGTATTACTCATGCATTCAACAAACATTTATTGAGCATTTATTTTGTGCTAGGCGCTGAAGGTTTGGTGGTGAGGCCTGCTTTCATAGAACTTATAGTAGGGAAAGAGTCTAGCGGACAACATTTAACTGAGTGTTTAACTATAAATGCTTGAAAGGAAAGAAATACAATTCTTCGTGAGTGTTTAACAAAACAAGCAACAAACAAAAAACAAAACTCCTCTCCTCAACTAGCGGGTCTAGGAGGCTTCTCTAAGAAAGTGATACCAGAGGGGCTACGTGAAGGATAGGCAGGACTTAAGTAGGCTAAGGAGGAAAGGAGCACGTTCCAGACAGACGGTGTGTGTACAGAGGCTCTGTGGCAGGAGAAAGCCTGGCGCATTAGCGACACTGACAGAAGCCCGTTATGACTAGATCGCAGAGAGCGAGGCGGGGACAGTGAAGCGAGATGAGGCCGGAGAGTAGGCGACATTCGGACAGAATTCAGCTCACTGCAGGGCTGAGCTCGCCTCTGCTCTTCCCCTACTTCCTTCCCTGAGTGTCAGCGACACAACCAAGTGAGACTAACACAAGTGTCAGGTGGCTAGGCGCCCGGCAGCGGGGACTACAGCGGAAGACACTCAGAAACCAGCTCGTTCTGCCGCTGAGCACTAAAGACGCGCCCGCGGCGCCCCTGGCTAGGGCCGCGAAATCCAAGGCGGCCTAAAAGAAAGGCAGGGACGGAGATGGGATGCCGCCCCCTTTACCGCGCCGTTCTCGCTGCTCTTCGTCAGGCAGCCAGCAAGCGACGAAAAGATGTAGCCGTGCCGGGTGTAAGTGCCGCTGCCCGGACTGCCCTCCTCCAAGTTACACAGACGTTCGCCTGAAGAAAAAGCGCTGCATCAGCCACGGGGCCCCAGGAGATGCTGGCCGTCCAGCCTTCCCACCTCTGTGCCTATCCAGGATTCGCTGTGGGCACCGCTCACTTACCGGGGATGCAGTACCTCACGGGTGGCGCCATGATTGCCACTACCCCGACACCGGAGGCAAACCAAGGCGGCTTCTCATTGGCCAAAATCCAGTTGCAGTTCCGCAGTAAGAAGCGTGCCAATTGGTGCGATTCATCACGTGCTCTCCGGGACGGGGGGGCCCTCCCCCCCTCAGGGGGTAGACTCCATTTCCCACGTGGCCCGGGACGAGCCCGGGGGCGGAGCTCCGGAGCGCCTGCGCTTGCGCTTGCGCCTGTTGTCGAGAATGGGCTGGCGGCGGGTCCGGGTCTGCGGACTGGCGCTGTGGGTGGCAGGCCATGCTTGGACTCTTTGAGCCGAGCCGGGCCAGGGCGCAGAGCTGGAGGGGGTGGCCGTGAGCGGCGGCGGAGGCTGCGGGGTTCGATTTGGCTGACTGGGGAGTCGGCAGGTAAGAGCCAAGCCGCGGCTTTTGCTCCCCAGTCCTGTCCCTTTTTCTAGGGTCGGGCCCTGTTCCGGGGCCGTCTCGTGAGCCCGGGTTCCTGCTCTCTCCTCGCCCCGCCCTGCACGGCCGTGCCCTGTTTCAGCTGGGTGGAGCGTACCTTCCGGGCACCCGTAACGCGCGAAGCTGGGAGGAGGTCAGCAACCCAACTCGCCCATTTCACAGATTAGGAAACTCAGATCCAGGGCTAGGATTTGACTTGTCCACTGTCTCGAAGATAGTTCAAAGTAGAGCCCCAACTGGAATCCGAGTTTTTTAACGTCCAATCCATCGCACTTTGACCACGCCACCCTCATTGAGAAAACCTTTTCCCGGTTTTTGTAATTGCAGCTGCCGATCTTGCAGTCGGATCCTCTCAAGCGGAGGTCTAGTGTGGGCCCATCCTTAACTTTTTCTCTTCCTAGCATTAGTCCAGAAGGGAAGTCTGCACATGAATAAAATTGCTACTCTTGTTGATGATTGACCTCTGCTGCTTGAGACTGCGAACATCCTGAGAGCAGCTTCTTTGTCCAGATGCGATTGGCCACGACTTTCATCTCAGTTTTCTCTTTTAGTGGCTTTGGAATCTGTCCCTCCCTGTGCAACACCCGCTCCCCCTCATCCAGATTCCCCTTGGGAAACAGTTGGTGACTTAGAGCCTTGGGAAGAGGGGAGTGCTGTGGCCTGCAGTCCCCTCTAATCTGGTGGGGATGTTACTATGGCCTGTGATCAATAGTGCTCAAGACTTGTGCTTGGGGTAAAGATGTGCTTTGCTTTGTTTCCTCCCTTCCCCCTGAGATCAGCGGCGGGGGAGATGGGGAGACGGGGAGACGGATGGGACAAGACCACCTCCCACACATAATTTTTTTGAGTTCTCCTTTACCTCAGTTTCCTGAGATGAAAACTCCCTACGTTCGGTTGTGGCCCCATGGACTACATATCTCTTCCCTGGCATCCCATACCCCCCAAATCCCACTAGCTAAAATGATGGGGAGCTTGGCTTCAGACTTTGTTCGCTCAAATCTGATATGTAGCTCTGCATCTACAAGCTTTCTGTTTACATATTTGGGTTGATTTCTGGTTGGACTTGTTTCTAAAATGCTATCTAACCTTAAGTCTATGATTCTAGCAATGGTTTCTCTGTCTCTCTGTTGATCATGAAACATGATAGCAACAGACACTTGTTTACTGTAATCACATTGGCAGGCATGCCCTTGTTATTTGTAGGACAGATAGACATCTGGCCAGCCTTTCTTTTCCACTTCAGCATCCCTCCAGGTTATTCCTTCAGCAAGTCTTTATTGAGTACTTCCATGGTCCAGGTATTGTGCTAAGCACTTTATAAACATTTCATTTATACCTTACCAAGTGTGTGTCTAGAATCGTAAAGGGGTGGAGCTGGAAGGGACCTTAGCATTTAATCCTACCCCTTCATTGAATGGGAACACAAAGAAATTGAGTCTCAGTAGAGTTCGGAGATTTGCCCAAGGTCACAGAACTACTTAAAGGCAGAACTGAACCCTAAGCAGTCAAGTTACGGGGCAGATGAGAGTTAGTAAGTCAAGTCCTTGAGGCAGGCATTTCCTGTAGAGCTTAGGAATTCTGGAGGTGGTTGAGAACATTCTGAAAAGTGGAGAGTCTGAGAAGAAAGATTTTTTTGGTAGAAAGGAGAGATGGTATTTAATTCATGTTTATTACAGATGAGGAATGCATCTTATTTGCAAGCTATTGCAAATAGGAAACTCTCCATTAGCCATAGTAAGGGAATAAACAGTGGTGTGGGCAATCCAGGTCACTTGGAATGGTTGTGGGGTAAAATGTTTTGTCCCACTCTTATATTTGATTGTGGCTGTATACTATTTTGAAAATTCAAGGTTCCAGCCAAACCATGGTTCCAAAGAATAGGAGTCCAACTCAAAGGAAGTAGGAAGTTTGAGCTTTTCCTTTTTCTCTTTTCTACGCTGCCCCTTAATTCTCTTAGCTCTTAGGAGGTGATGGGAATGGCCAGTTTCTTTATCCTTGTGCAGAGAGTAGATCCCTACTAAATTGTCTTTCTTCTGTTTCTGTGCTGGCCTTGTCTGCCGAATTTCATTTTGCGTTAAGTCGTTACAGACCTTGTGGAAGGAGGTGATTAAATGTTTTCTTTGAAAGGCCTCTTGTGGGGATGAGCCAGGTGCAAGGAGAATACTTTGCTCCAGTGACTGAATTGAAACTGTCCCTACAGTGGAGCAGCCTCCTCCAGTTTCTGCTGGGTTTCAAGCTGCCTGTTAAATAAGTCAGGGGAGTTGCTGAGGACAAAGTAGCCCTAGGGGAAAACTGGTTAATTTCTTTCCTTGTAAGGACTTTAATCTGCGGAATTGATGAGACTATCATCGAAGGAATCTGTGTCTTGTGGGCAGGTGACCTTGCACGGCTGTTGGATGAGATAGAGACCACATAGAGGAGATGAAGGCGCTTGCAGAGCAGCTGTGCAGAGGGCTAAAGAGCCGAGAAGACTGGTTGGGAAGCTTGGGGCCAAGGGCAGCAACCGCAGAGAAGGCTCTTGAGTGTCCAACTAGAACAAGGCAGGGGAGACTCATCACAGAGAGGACAGGCCCTGTGGTCTTAGGAGCCACCAGCATGGATGCCCCTCCCACTGCCAGTGGTTGCCTGCCTGTGGTGTTTTTCTGCTCTGAATACCTGAAGTTGTCTTGGCTTCTGTGTCCTTGGGCTGGGGCTGGGCCTGGAATTGGAAGCAAAGCATCTTATATCATGCAAGGGGTAGCTGAGCTGTCCTGACAGGATTCAGGGACTCTCGTGCTACCAGGTTGGGTCTGGTGGCCTGTAACGTCAGCTCAGAGGGAGTAGGAAGGCTGAGTGTCTTTTGCCAAGAGTCAGAAAGCACCAGGAAGATCTAGGTGCAGAGTCCACATGCTGTGCCCTCACTCCCCTACTGGCTGTTCCATGGTGAAGAGCAATTGTTAGGAGGTAGGTTGATGGGGCAGGGCGGACAAGAGACCCTGGGAAACTTCTGCTGCAGTGGCCATGCCCATAGAGATGCAGTGGGCAGCTTTGTGCACATTGGCTGTGCTCCACCCAATGGTCTGACCCTGCTTTGTGCTTTGGCTTGGAGCCGCCTGCCTCCCTCACCCCTTTACTGTGGCCCTTTACTCTAGGTGTGCATCATCTTGGATTTCCTGTGCAACCACGTGGTGGAATGTAAGTAGGATTTCTGCAGGCTCAGAACCTCCAGACCCTACCCCCTGTAACGTGATTGGGACACTGGCATCACACATTCTGTAGAGAAGTGACTTTTCTACTTCCCACAGCTGGTGACTGGCCCAGCTAGGCCTCAGCCTTAGGTCTTTGTTTCTAAGCTGGTGTTCTGGGCCTCCCCACTGGTGGGGTAGGGAGGGACAGGACCCAGGCTGGCCCCTCACAACAATGTGCTCTCCTAGGAGCCATGCGGGGCCAGCGGAGCCTGCTGCTGGGCCCTGCCCGCCTCTGCCTGCGCCTGCTTCTGCTCCTGGGCTACAGGCGCCGCTGCCCACCTCTGCTCCGGGGCCTGGTACAGCGCTGGCGCTATGGCAAGGTCTGCCTGCGCTCCCTGCTCTACAACTCCTTTGGGGGCACTGACACTGCTGTCGATGCTGCCTTTGAGCCCATCTACTGGCTGGTGGACAACGTGATCCGCTGGTGTGGGGTGGTGAGTGATGCCCAAGGAGCAGGAAAAGGGATATTTTGGGGTAGCAGAGGAACATGTGTGTGATGGACCCACACCAGGCTTTGGAGGCCAGCCTCCCCCCACCCCGGGAAATTCCTGAGTCTACTCTGGGTGTTGGCAAGCTCTCTCTCTGCATCTACCTGACCTCACTGGTGTTGGCAGGTGTTCGTGGTGCTGGTGATCGTGCTGACCAGCTCCATCGTGGCCATTGCCTACCTATGTGTCTTGCCCCTCATCCTCCGAACCTACTCAGTGCCCCGACTCTGCTGGCATTTCTTCTATAGTCACTGGAATCTGATCCTCATCGTCTTCCATTACTACCAGGCCATCACTACTCCACCTGGATACCCACCCCAGGTGGGTCACCTGGGGCATGGAGGAGGGAGAGAGCTGCAGGCTGTGGGAGCCAGTTCCAAGAGTGGGGAGGGAGAGTGCCTTGGTAACCTTTGAGGTACAGAACTGGTGCTGCCACATGATGGTACTTGTCATGATGCTTTTCTCCCTTTGCACAGGGCAGGAATGATATCGCAACAGTCTCCATCTGTAAAAAGTGCATTTACCCCAAGCCAGCCCGAACACACCACTGCAGCATCTGTAACAGGTGGGTCTTGGCTTTGCTCTCTGGGAACGCCAGCTGTGGCCTTTTTGCTGTAGTCCTAGGCAAAACCTAGACCTGGAATTTGATAAGACATTCATGAAGCCCCTGTCTTGTGCCAAGCAATGTGACACCTGGTCCTGAGAGTTAGGCATTATCACCACTTGTGGAAACTGAGGTTCAGAGAGATGAGTTACCTTGTTCAATATCATATAGCCAGTGAAGCAGGGTTTGAAGCAAGGCCTGGCTGTCTTCAAAGTCTGTGCCTTTTCCACCTCAGCAGGATGCTGGTCCTTGTAGGAA